CCGGGAATCGAACTCAGGTCCTCTCGCTTGTGAGGCGAGTGCTCTAACCACTGAGCTACAGGACTCCACTCCAACTAAATCTGAAACGAGACCCGAACATCAAACAACTTCTGAAAGAGACAATGTTAACATTCCAGACACGAACCAAAAATCAACGGCCAGAGACGAACAAGTAAACAGAATGATCACAAAGAAATTGGAAACGGTGACATGAGGAGGCAGTTTGCTGCCTGTGAATAAAAATAACGCCTTTTATGTGAATCCGTGTCAAACAGCTTCGCAGGATTTACTGTAAAGTGCCGTGACTGTATTTTGTAGGCAGCCAATATGCACAAGCCATGCCCCACCACCACAACAACCACAACAGCAACTGGCACTTTATATAGCGCCCGCCCTCCACTCAGGGTAGCGTCTCAGAGCGCTTAACACAGCCACAAACAGTCTGCATGAAAAGTAAGCGTTTGCTGTTGGCAGAACGTGCAATGCTCTCAATCGGAAGCAACTTTCCACAACTTTCTGACTCACAGGCCAGAGGGCGACCACTGTCGGCTGTGTCGGCTGTCACACACACACAGACTGAGCGTACAACTGTCATGAGAATGTAACATGGATACAAAATAATAATCCTTACATTTGTGTTTCACATGATTCACTGTGATCAAAATTATAATAGTCCTTGCATTTGATATAGCGCTTTATCCCACCTTCGCGACGTCTCAAAGCGCTTCACAGGATACACTGTAAAGGGAATTGATTGGATATTTTCGTGGGGGGGGGGGTTGGGGGGAGAGGGGGAGAGGGGGTTCGGGAGAGGGATTATTACCCCCAGAAAGCAATCCCCAATGACTAACAACCGGGTTCCTAGTCCGCTGGGTAAACGAGGGTTTATGGAGTAGGAAACTTGCCTAGTTTTGCCCTGCCCGGGAATCGAACCCGGGTCCTCTCACCTGTGAGGAGGAGCGCTCTGACCACTGAGCTGCAGGACTCTGCTTGAAGACCATGGCTTCAGGTTACCGTCGGGCGGGTTTTGGGACCTCCTGACCAGTTGGTGGTCAAAAAATATTTCAGGCTGCACAAAGCAGCGGATTTGAAAGGACAAGCGATGGGGCACTTTCATTCAACAACAACAATATAATATTAGTGTCGCGGTGGTGGGTTATTGGGGATTCCCGAGAAACACAGCGAAATGCTACGAGGATCAGTTCTGAAATTATTTATGATTTTGATGCACTTTGTGGTCAACATGAAAGGCAACGCCACTGAATTCACTGCACTTTTTGTCC